AACAAATATGTTCATGCACACAAATGTTTGTACTGTGCGGGAATCGAACCCGCTACCTCCGGAATAGTAGTCCGCTTCGAACCACTACACCAAACGGCCGACTTATGGCAGCAGTTACTAATTCATTGGTAGTGACGGATGAATGAATCCGCCGATGACGATGGAGACGTACCGCAGCGTGGGACGTCCACCCACAAGGTGGACCGACGACATCATACGAGTAAAGGTAGCAGGAAGGCGTTGGACGCAAGCCGCTACCAACCGGACAACATGGAAAGCATTGGGGGAGGCCTATGTTCAGCTGTGGACGTCCTATGGCTGAGATGATGATGATGATGATGATGATGATGACGGATGAATCTAGTCTGCCTGGCCTTACCTATAGCTTTCCTGCGCTTCCCGCCTCGGTGCGCTGACCTTTTAGGTCCGTTTCCACAAAGGCGGAGTAGAGCGGAGCGGAACGGAGCGGAGCGGAGAAGTGTCGGGCCTATAGAATTTGACAGCGGAGCTGTGCTTGGCGGAGAGAGAAGTGGAAATAACGAAATCTGATTGGTTATTCAAAACACTCCGCTCCACTTACGTCTCTATCCAATAATCATTCGTTTCAGCCAAAAGACGTTCACAGCTGGACGAAGGCCTCCCCCAAGGATTTCCACAAAGACCGGCCCTGCGCCGCTCGCATCCAGGCGCCTCCCGCGACCTTTACCAGATCGTCGGTCCACCTAGTGGGAGGCCTGCCCACGTTACGTCTTCCGGCTCGTGGTCGCCACTCAAGATCTTTCCTGCCCCAGCGGCCATCAGCTCTACGAGATGCGCTATCCAATAATTTTGTATGCATAAAAGGCAGGTATTGACCGCAATCGCACCTGATGTTAAGTTGGATGCAGTCTACGATGGTACATCTGCCCTCTAAGTGCCTATTCACTCTCGCCTTGAAGAGGCCTGGATTATAGTTTTGTAATAATTTGAGTCAAAGCGAGCGCAGTCCGTTCTGCTTCTAGATGAGCGTGTACGAAAATGTGGAGTACTCCTGCTTGACGCTGGAGCTGGTGAACGCGTCGGCTGTATCGGAGATGAAGGTTCGCCACACCTGCGTCCGCGAGTCCTACGGGCCCGCCTGCTACGCCTACCGAGGTAAGGGGGTGTCCGTTAATGACGTGAGACAATTTTGGATATTTTTCTACCCCCTTTCCCCCCCCCCCTTGGAGAGATTTGGTGAGATTTTGCCTGACCCCCTTCCCAAAAACCTAATCTCACGTGATTAAAAAAATCTGAAATTTTATACTTCTGGAGTAATTTAACTATACTATCCAACTATATGTGTATATTTAACTGTGGAAACTTAATTGGTTTATGTGTTTTCTTACTGCACCTAAGTTAAATTATATGGTAACTGTATGTTTCCCAAAAATAAATAAATAAATTAACTGAGAAATATTTTTTTCTTAGTGCGAGTTGTGGTGAGAGTTAGAGACGGTATGGAATAAAATGTCATTATTATCATAAAATAATTTATTTTTACTGAAGTTTTCTGGGAAATTTACCCTATTTCTTGCAGAAAAAATTACGTAATATTTCCCGAGACTCCCACCCACGTGAGATTTAGTGAGGTTTTTGTTGACAAAAAACAAGTCTCACGTAATTAATGGACGCCCCCTAAGTATACCATTGCTTCGCCCCGATTGCGCTAAATATTTTCAACTGCAACGCAACTGGACTGGACGACGAACGAAAATCAACTGTTTGCGCAGATTCATATCGCGGTGTCGCTTTGACAGCTAGTTCGAACGATGCTGTAACATAAACGGTACGCAACTGCGTCTTTGTGTAAAAGCTGACAGAAAGCTACTTATTTCAAACGCAAGTCAAACGTACGTACACACGGCCACACTGTTAACTATCATTTCCTTTTTTGCTCTCGCTCTCATCAAATGGTGATTCTTTGCAATAGAACGAGACGACAATATGACAGGCAATGGATAGTTAACACTGTTGCCGATGGTACACGTACCTACCCAGCTTATGCCCTAGGGGAGTCATATCCAGCTTAAGTAAGGAGCACGTTGAAAACTACAGGCCGATCTCAATCTTGCCTGCTATGGCCAAGGCATTTGAGGCATTGGTATGTCCATTGATCCAAAATTATTTCAGTAAATATTTGTCACCTTGCCAACATGGTTTCACTCCTTCTAGGTCAACATGCACCAATTTAGTAACTTTTATCGAAGACACGATAGATGCTGTAGACTCCGGTAAACAAGTGGACACTATTTACACCGACTTTAGCAAAGCTTTCGACAGGGTCTCTCACGATTTGCTTATTCAAAAACTTGAGGTGTATGGATTTGCTGGTGCACTTCTCAATTGGCTAAAATCATATTTAAGTAACAGATCATTTTACGTGGTTGCCGATGGATACAGGTCTAATTCCTATAAAATATCTTCAGGTGTACCACAAGGTTCACACCTAGGGCCAATTCTTTTCAACATATTCATCAATGATCTTCCACATTGTTTTATCCACTCCATCCCATACATGTTTGCTGACGATCTCAAAATTGCTCGAGTGGTTCACGATCAAACTGACGCACTGCTTCTTCAAAGTGATATTGACAGACTTGTAGAATGGTGCTCATTAAACAATATGAATCTTAACGTCAAGAAATGTTGCCAGATTACTTTTACGCGTAAATTGAACCCGGTTGCCAATAACTATCATATAAATGGTTCTATTCTAGACATAGTTAATGTTATTCGGGATCTTGGGGTACTCATAGATCAGAAACTTACTTTTATCCCACATATTGATAACATCATTAAGAAAGCTTTTAAAGCTCTTGGTTTTGTTATAAGAAACGCTAAGTCGTTTCACAAGCCCAAAACAAAAATTACTTTGTACAACTGTCTAGTGCGTAGTGTCCTTGAATATTGCTCGGTGGTATGGCGACCCCACTATGCGACTCACAGCTTGCGTCTTGAACGTGTTCAAAAGAGATTTTTGAACCACCTGGCTTTCTCGGCAAAAATAACAAAAAAGATTCCTAGTTATACAAAGCGTCTTGCTCACTTTAAAATAAAATCCCTAGAAGCACGTAGATCTACCCATGATTTAACTTTTTTGTTCAGAATTTTAAACTGTAAGGTTGATAGCCCCAATCTACTTTCTAAATTTAAACTTAAAATCCCTCACAGATACCCAAGGTACCATATTAAACTGCTATGCCCTCCTTACCGTAAAACTGTATCAGGATCCAACTCCCCTGTTTCAAGACTGTGTAAGTCATATAATAATCTCAGCGCTGATGTTAATTTGTTTGGCACAAATATTTCTAAATTCCGTCGTCAGATTAACCAAATAACCTAACTTAATTAATTAGCTAACTATTGTCAATCTAGGCACTCACTAGCCGCCTTGTGGTTGCTCGTTGCTTTGCAATTCAGTTTTTAGACTAAGTACTTACTTTCTTTGAATGGTTTGGTTTATATAAACGCATGCAGTGTTTACCTACTATTATATATTGTACTCTTAGAACATAGTATCAATGGATTTTTTTGTTATATTGTATGTATTATTGTACAATTGTTGGTAAACCAATAAATAAAAAAAAAAAATAATAAAGTCCTACGGGCCCGTCTGCTACGCCTAGTCATACCCAACTCCGATTGGAAACTTTTTAGGTCAGATCATTTGACTTAACTCCTTCAAAGCGATACATAGGTACTAGCTTTTGCCCGCGGCTTCACGTGAAACTTAGATTGTCACATTTGTCACAGATCGTCATAAGCGTAGGCGCAGACCACCGACTTTTAGTTGGCCGATAGTTGAACCCGATACTAATTTGTATGAAGAATCGGCCGATACCAAATCGGTGTAGTGTGCGCACTTTCATAATATCTCCATACTGGTCAAAAGCCCGATCCAACTATCGGCCAACTAAAAATCGGTGGTCTGCGCCTAGGCTAAGTTATAGCCTATTTATGTTATTCTAGATAATCTAAATATGTCACTCAAAGCTGACTGACTGCCTGACTGACAGGCATAGTGATCTATCAACGCACAGCCCAAACAACTGGACGGATCGGGCTGAAATTTGGCATGCAGGTAGATGTTATGACGTAGGCATCCGCTAAGAAAGGAGTTTACGAAACTCCGTAACTCCGTAAAAGGGATCCACGCGTACGAAGTCGCGGGCGGCCGCTAGTAAGCAATACTACTGTAAAGTTTCGTCAAAATCCGTTCGGTATACTGAGATATAGGTACGAGTAGATTCCCCATTGTTTCTCACCGCGGCATCAAATCAAATACATAAATTTATTTGCTTAAAACAAAGTCGTGTTAGTTACTCCACTTATAACTCAAGAACGGCTGAACCGATTTAGCTGAAAATTGTCAGGAAGGTAGTTTAGAGCCAAGAGAAGGACATAGGATACTTTTTATCCCGTTCGAAATTTAAAAAAAAGTCTGCTTATTTATTGCCATTAAGGTGGAACAAAGTTCGCCGGGTCAGCTAGTACCCTATAAAAATTCATGTCACTTAGCCATATTATAAGCGACTTAAAGCGACCTTTTGAATCTTGCATTTGGTAGGTTTTTGATATGGTTCGGGATACAACTGTATATCTTAAACACACATGGCATCACACTGATCAAGATAATGTTTAAGTTTTGGTAAGCTATCATATACTAGATGACTAGGATCTCTAACATTGAAGTTTACAACATCTTTTCGCTTTTTGAATAAATTAATATTACTTCTCACAAACAGAGCTACTTCAAGGATGTACAGACAAGGTAGGGGCAATATTTGTAGCTTTCTAAAGACAGGCTCACAGGATTGACGAGGGGACATACCACAAATTGCCCTTACGCATTTTTTTGCGCTTTAAATAATAAATTCATGTCAGTAGAATTTCCCCAAACCAAAAGTCCATGCCTCAGAATTGAGCCGACATATTCCATGATATGCTGCCAGACAAGCATTCAATTTATCTGTGTCCAGGGTCCGTGTTCGACATATCCGTGTACATGATGTTCTCCGACAAATGCCGCTTCGAGATGTTCGCGTGGGGCTGGAAGAAGAACCTGTCTCTCATCGACATACAAGACTGGAAGTGGGAGGAAGGCACCTACTACGAGGACTTCTCTATGACCCGCGTGAGGACCAATACACTAAGCCTGGGTTGCACCATCTTACTTTAACTTTGACAAACGTCAGAAATCTGTCAAATTCCATACAAAAAGCACCGGTTATCGTTAAAGTTACGGTCAAAGTTAGGTGGTGCAACTCAGCCTAACATTCACCGTCATTCTCATCATCATAGAGATATAGAGCGATGCCAACTAATGCGCTGAGTTCCAAACTCAGTGTCGCATCAGAAATATATGCTCATTACCCATTGCGGTATACTCAACGTTCGAATACCTAATCTTTACCACGCAAGCAATGTAAACTGCTTACATTATGACGTCGTTTTTGTCATCATTGCTGTCGCGAGCAATGTGTTCTGTTTTTGGGCATATTTGCTGCAACACCGGCCCCGCTCCCTTGTCACGTCTCCCTTTACTTTGTGATCTGTGGTCATCATCATCATTTCAGCCATAGGACGCCCACTGCTGAACATAGTCCTCCCCCAATCAAAATCAAAAATCAAAATCAAAAAATATTTATTCAGTTTAGACCACAAGTGGCACTTATGAACGTCAATAGAAAATAATAAAAAAAGAAAAAGGTAGCCCTTATGGGGCACTTTACATGTCTCCTTATCTTTTGGGCCCTACCAGCGCTTCGAGACAAACATATGGCAAGTGCTGAGAAGAAACGCCGGAACAAACTCAGTGATTCCCAATGATTCAATGATTCAATTCAAATTCAATTCAAATGATTGACTCAATGATTCCCATAAAGACAGGTTGGCAGCGGCCTACATCCAGCGCCTTTTTTACGGGATGCTGCATAATTGAATTGGGATAATAAAATCGAATTTCTATTTAGTCCGTCAGACAGATAATAAAAAAATATTGGACACGCATTTTTTCATTTTTTTCTTACTCGAATATTACAGTATTAATTGGGTCGAAATGTTGCGTGACGTTACTTCTAAGTAAAAAATCTACATAGGCGCGAGGTAACGCACCGTTTCAACTCGATGTAGCACTGTTATTATTTAATTATGAAAGAAAATAAAAAATACGAGTGTAATATTTTCTAATTATCTGTCTGACGGACAATTCATTGAAATTTTGTCATCTAAAGTCTGGTCCATGAGTCCATAACGACTGTGCGACTGGCACCCACAGTGAGTGTGCGTCGCGACAGCAATATAATTACGCGCGAGCGATAAGGATGGGTAGCTAGGGGTCATTGGACAAAATTCTACGTGCTCATGGACCAGACTATAGCCTATTGCCGTGGGAACAAGCACTTTTCGCGTTGTAGGTCGAGTATCGGGGCCCGGCCGACCAGACGGAGTACGGCTTCGAGCCCATCGACGAGCGCCTGTGGGTGCCGGAATACGACTACTGGACCACCACCGAGTTCGACAACTCCACCACCACCGTAGCCCCCACCACCCCCCAGAGTGAGAATTCATCATCATTTTTAGGGTTCCGTAGCCAAATGGCAGAAAACGGAACCTTTTTAGATTCGTCATGTCTGTCTGTCCGTCTGTCCGTCCGTATGTCACAGCCATTCTTTTCCGAAACTATAAGAGCTATACTGTTGAAACTTGGTAGGTAGATGTATTTTGTGAACCGCATTAAGATTTTGATGCAATAAAAAAATAATATAAATATTGGGGGCTCCCCATACTTAGAACTAAAACTCAAAAATTTTTTTTTCATCAATCACTACGTGTGGGATATCTATGGATAGGTCTTCAAAAATGATATCGAAGTTTCTAAAATATTTCTTTTCTAAACCGAATAGTTTGCGTGACAGACGCTTCCAAAGTGGAAAAAAGTTGGTCCCCCCCCCCCTCTAACTTCTAAAATAAGAAAATGAAAAATCTAAAAAAAAACATATGATGTACATTACCTACTATAAAAACTACCAACGAAAATAGTTTTGAACGAGATCTAGTAAGTAGTTTTTTTTAATACATACCTCGTAAATCGTAAACCGCTTATTACCGTGTAATCTTTCATACAAATAACTTAAATTAAAAAAATAATAATGCACGCACTTAGCCGGTTTTTTCTTCATATTTGTATTGCACAAATTACTATTAGTCCCGTTAGCCCCTCGTGGTAAGCTAAATAAATTAAACCCTAACGATCGAGGCAATAATAATTACTAATTACCTACTTATTTATTAAGACGAATTATTAATATTTATGTAGGTATACCATGATTGATACTTCTGGAGTCGGTGCCAAGATTATGAAACATGTAAAGTTTGCCTGCACCGACTCCAAAAGTATCAATCATGGTATACCTACATAAATATTAATAATTCGTCCTAATAAATAAGTAGGTAATTAGTAATTATTTTTCTACGTTTTAGTGTAGGTTTTTTGGAGTCGGTTTTATTTTTTTTTATAAAATTTTACTTATTTCTTGCTTTTTAGTTAACTAATTATTACCTTGATGTTACCACTGAAGGTAGGCAGTACACTGAGACCAAAAAAAATTGCGGCGGAGAGAATTCCACCCTGTATAACAGAAAAAGGCTCAACCCGTGTATGGTTCCAAAATACTGAACTGTCTTAACCATGACATTGACACCGTCAATACCGGATCGCTGGTTCCGATTTTTGCCATGTTGGAAACCATTATAGTTGAACGATGGTAGCGCCCCTCTGTCATTGAGTTTGGTGGGACAGTTCAGTGTGGGTCATCTATAGGACTAACTCGCGTTGTTCTTTATGTTACAGTGACGGCTGAGCCAGACTGGGGAAAGGAATACAATGTACAGGAAGACCAACCTTTAGATAAGTTTATTTTCGAGTCGACGGAACCTGAGAGCGAATTCCTGCTAGGCATCAGGTGGTAGGCTTTACCATTCTTGTGCTCATCGTCATCATTATCATTTCAGCCATAAGAACATACTTAGGTGGATCAGTGGTTCTTAACGGGTGCGTGACTGTTTATATAACTTTATATGATATAAATTCATTTCAATAACGTTCATATTGTATAATAAACGTATGTTATAATAACGCTTGATATATTTTTTTAACATATAATGTTTACTTCATATAATAAATTATTTCTAATAATATCATTTCAGATACCAATCACAACGCATAAAGACATTGATATAAACCTTATAGCCTGACCAGGAACATAAAAACCCTGGCATAGAGGCGCCTCAATTGCATTTGATAGTGCAACACTGAGTACAGTCGTACCTGTGTTAAATTAATAGGCTAACTTTATGTATCAGGATTCAGGATTACGGGCTAATTTGATATTTTCATAAATTAACGAAAAAAATATTATTATAGGTAACCTGGTTTAAATAAATTAAATAAAACCATCAATCGAGCTAGTAGGATTTATTTTATTATTCATCAATAATCAAATTCAGAACTTGAATATTCAACTACAATGTCTGCTCATGAACGCATCAAACTCGGTACTTCTTTCCCAATTCCATAAAATTCAACACTTAGAAAGTGACAAAAAACTTTAAAATAGGTAGTTGAAACAAACCATAGCTAATTTTCATAGTGGACTGTACTATACGATTAACATGTCAGTCAATTTGACAACCTTTGTCGGAAACATTATTCAGTGAAAATATTGTCCGAACCCTTAGTATTTCTCTTCGACAAATACTTTAACACATTGTGAACCACTTTTCTTTCACGACTTTAAAAAGATTTTAGCAATTTAATTCACAAAATCAATTGCACCCATTTAAAATAAAGTTTGTTTACACTTTGACAGCAATAGACTGACATGCAAGGTGACATGACAATGAAGTTTTCAGTTATAGTTCCAAAATACTGGACTGTCCTGTCGATGACATTGACAGTGGGGCGCCACCGTCAATACCGGATCGTTGGTTCAGATTTTTGCCATGTTGGAAACCATATAGTTGAACGATGGTAGCGCCCCCCTGTCATTGAGTTTGGCGGGACAGTTCAGCGTGGGTCATCTATACTGTTGCCATTAAAAGAAATTAGTACCATTAGTTTTCCGCAACATGGCGAGGGTTTTTATGTTCCTGGTCGGGCTATACTTAATCTAAGACTCATTTGATGTAATTTTGTTTAATATAAATATTATTTCACGTAACCATTACTTGTAATAAATATTATTTGTTATACTCTTTAATTGATATAATTTCTGATAGATATAACTTTAAGTATGTTCTTTTTTAGCTTGACTTATAAATGACTTTAGTGACAAAAACGAATCGCCGTAAAACCGACTCCACGTAGTCTTGTGTGCCCTACCCCTAGAGTGTAATTTAGAAGCGCGTAGGCACGGAGGGGAGAGGCGGCCCGCGGGCTGAGGAGCAGGTGGCTGGAAGCGAGGCGCCGCGGCTGAGGCTTTCGCCGGCCAGCAAGCCGAAGACGCGGTGTCGAGCGAAAGCCATCTGCGACGATTAGCACGCGAGGGACCGCCAGAGCCCCGCAGTGCCGGAGCCGTGACAGAAGTCTCGAGTTTTTAGTCAAATTTGCATGCTGCATGCCTGCATGCCTGCTTGCTTGCTTGCTTGCCTGCTTGCCTGCTTGCTTGCTTGCTTGCCTGCTTGCTTGCTAAAATTATTATTGTTATATGATTTAAGTTTTATAGGAAAAGAATTTTATGTCATTTGATTGTTCGACATTTTATTTTTATATGATTTGAATGTTATTTGTTTTAAATAGTATACATTGTAAGTTTTATAGAAAATATAACATTACATCAAACCATTTTATATCAGTTAATAGTTATTTGTCTTAAAATTATTCGTTTTAAAATTATATTATTCGTTTATTATAGTAAATAATTATTATATTAAACGATTTTATATAATTTGATGTTATATCCTCTAAGTATTATATGATATGTAGTTATATCATACATTACACACCCGTTCTTAACCTTTAAGTCACGAGGGACCATTTTACCAAATTTCTGTCTAGTCAGGGACCACTTTTTTTTTTCAAAATCCTATAAAAGGGGAGGTCGATTTCTCGCCCACTGTGCGCCGTTTGCGTTGTGTTGACTCGACGTCACGTCACTTATTAGGTACGATGTCTTCGTGGACCACTAGGAATGCCTCCAGGGACCACCAGTGGTCCGCGGACCACCGGTTAAGAACCACTGCGATAGATAGACCTCCCCCAATGCTTTCCATGTTGATCGATTGGTAGTTGGTAGCGGCCTGCGTCCAGCGCCTTCCTGATTCATCTTTATGAGGTCGTCGGTTTACCTTGTGTGTGGAAGTCCTACTCTGCCCTCCCGGATTCTTGAACTAAAAGCATTTAGTAATAAACTAACATTATCACTGAAAACTTGTTTTACTTTTCTGTCGCATGGCGTTATTACCTGACTGCGACAAAAAGAGGGTTATGTTTTATTTGTGTAGGACCTCAGTTCTAAATAAAAGAGAATGAAAGTGGTTCAAAAACCAATAGCGAGATGTTCTGGATTTTTGTAAGGTTTGTAAGGAGTATTAGGTGAATAAACTACCAACTCTAGCTGCTAGAATAAGTATCCAGCCAGACTGTGGAATTGACTGTCGTCTGCGGTGTTTCCGGACCGATACAACCTGCAAGCTTTCAAGAAGAAAGCGTTAAAGGCTGGAACCGCACCTGTAACGCGCCTGGGAGTGCGGGTGTCTATGGGTGATGGTAATCACTTACCATCAGGCGATCCGTCTGCTCGTCTCACTTAAAAAAAGCCTTTTTATGTATTAAGTGACTGTATCTAATTAAAAATCTAAGTCTGAAGTCTAAATACCTCCTAAAAATATTTATTCTAAAGTATTTTTTTTGTGACCCGCAACTGTTTTACACGAACCACCAGGCGGTTGGCTGTTATTTATATTATAGTTTGTATATTTTAAATAATCTTAATCATTGATAAACATTATGAAACAAACGATAATGAGTCGCACAGGAATTTTTCTTTGTAAGCAAACATAAAACACTAATAATATAAAAACTGGTCTCTTGCGGAGAAGGTTCCGTAGAAAATTTTGTTTAAAAATTATATTACGAGACTATATCAAGTTACCTACATAATAATATAATCTAAGTGGCAGTAAATACTACCTCATAGTTTTAAGTGGCAGTGGGCTGGTCATATTAACCGCCTCTGTGGTCTCATGCTTCAGACTCAGAGGTTTCGGGTTCGATTCTCAGTGGGGACTGACTTTTCTACTCATACCTATTTCTGTTAGATTTGGTTGGTAGGGCTTGTTCTAAATCCGCCTGGCTGGCTAGCTACTGCTACCACCATCTTACCGAAGTCTGTTACTCTGTGGTTGTAGATTTCGGGTGAAGCTCGCTTCCACCTTGGCCTGACCATCACTTTCCATGAGGCGAGAGCATGCCAAGAGTTTCCTCCATGATTGATGACGTATTGAACTCCTATGTTCTTCCGATTAATTTCTTTGCGGTTATAATGACAGCAGGTCTTTTTCCCGGTACAAAATTGGCTCTTATGAATAAATAAATAACTTTCATGAATTTTATAGTACGGAACCCTAAAATACATCTTCGGAAGTGACAAGTAAGTATAAATACAATTCATTATGTTGGCTACTAGATAGTTAGTGCGTGTCCTAGCCAGGTGAAAAGTGATTTATATTGAGGAGGTTGGTAACTTCATCTTGTTTGTGAGATTGTAGAGTGCGTTTACTGGTAGTGTATCTATCACCTATGCATACTTACAAAAATACAGGGTGTCAGTATGGATCAAACAAAACTGCGTTTAAAAAATCCGACTTTAAAAAATTAAACTGACTCCAAAAAAGTACACTAAAAAGTAGAAAAATAATTACGTTCTTTATTTAATTAGGATAATGATTGATATTCTTGGAGTTGGTGCTCAAGAAACGTAGGTACCTACCTACTAAATTTATCGACTTAAAAGGGCTCGTACTCGTACACATAAACACAACGCATTGTGTTACGATGAGCCATCGTGCTACGACGCGGTATCGTGCTACGACGCGGTATCGTGCTCCGACGCGGCATCGTGCTCCGACGCGGCATCGTGCTACGACGCGGTATCGTGCTACGACGCGGTATCGTGCTACGACGCGGTATTGTGCTACGACGCGACGCGGCATCATGTCACGGCCAAGGGCCGACTAAAAGCTGTAGTATGGTGCGAAAAGTCTGTATAGTACTTAAACAATAAGTTGATGGCGATGAACTTGCGTTTCTTTATTCGTCACTTACCTACCTAAAAGAAACAGACATCATAAATAAGACAACAAAGTACATGAAAATAAGATATAAAAAGAACTGAGAGCCTAGTGTGAGTTTTCATCAATTGCGCTCAAAAAATGATATTAAATGTATGACGGATTGTACAGCGCCCCTAGCGGGAAACGTTCAAAAACTAATATTTTCATACATTTTTTAAACGCGCTCACTAGCGCGTTTGATGTAATGTAAACTCACACTCAGCCCACTGCTGATTTTGTTACTGCAGGTGACAAAAGAAAAAAAATAACAATTTACTTGTCACTCGGAGAGATATTTAAACGCTTGCACAGTTCCATCCATCTACAAATCAAAGTTTATGTTAATACTAGCGTCCGCCCGCGACTTCGTACGCGTGGATCCCGTTTTACCCCTTTCATCTATCTTACGCGGTTTAGACTTTTCATANGTTTTTATACTATGTATAGGTCTAAAAATAAACAAATTATGTGGCGCTCTTAGGCGCCTTCATAGTCTATAGAATTTATGTACCTGTTTTCGGCCGCTTTTCTTGCCGGGCACTCCGTGTCACCTGTCTTGTGGCCGCAGGGTTTCTTGAAACGTAGACAGGTCGCACATTTAGGTGAGTCCGCTTTCTTCGAGCACTCCTGGATTGAGTGGCCATCTTCCCCGCAGTGGCCGCAGGTCGGAGAGGCGGCTTTGCACGTTTTCGCCGCATGTCCATATTGCTGGCACTTGAAGCATCTTGTTACAAGTGTAAAGTCTCTAACTGGGCATGATGTCCAGTTAATGAAAAGTCTGTCCTGTGAGATTAGAGCTTTACGAATGACGGCTGGTACTTCTATAACATAATTTGTGTTTTCCAAATTTTTTCTTCCAGACTTATGGCTCAATTTTATTGAGGTCAGAAAAGTATCACGTGACATTGTTGGAAGTTTGTCATGGAACAGGGCACGCCAATAATAATAATGCGCGGTTTTCGTTTGTTGGTTTCGTCGACAGTGAGACCCGAGTTAACCAGGTTGACCGAACTCTTGAGCTTTTCCATATCCTGTTTAGTTTCGGTGCTAATAATGACTCCTCCGTTTCTAGTTTTGCGGACACTTCGAACTTTTAACTTCATTTCTTCAGGGCAGATAATATTTTGTACCAGTGTCTTGGTGTCGTCACTTGTTTTTGATGCGTCATTAGGGAAAATTGCGACGGAGCTGAAGGGGTTTGGGCGAATGAAATTGTTTGACCCCTTCTTTACCATGTCAGCAAAGGAGGTACTTGCTGGCTGATGTTTCGTGCAAGCTTCCACGGACTGCTTCATCTCAAGAAGGCAGTCCGTTAGGTCTCGTTCTTTCTTCAGCTGTTGAATTGCAGAATGTGTTTCTATAGCTTTTTGCTTTAAGGACTGATACTTAACAGCCATTTGCGCGACTCCATGTCCAACTTTTCGGCAAATGTTGTTTATTCTTAATTTTTGGTCTGAGTTTAATTTTCCTTCACTAGCGATGTGGCATACCTCATTCAAATGTTGCTCGATTGCACTCATCCAGCCCTGCAGGTCTGACGTAGAGATGACTACAGGAGCGTCCCCTTGGTCCTGGGATACATTCTGGGGTGTTGACGGTGGTTGAGGGGAGCGGCGCGTAATTCCGCTCCGGCTGAAGGGGCTGCTTTCTGCTGACATTTTATTAGTATGTGCGAACACTAGCCACTAGTAAAATTGTCATTATAGTGAAACTATTCGCTGATTGAGCATAGCACAGTGAGTCACTATACTAGGTCACTATTTAAAATATTGTTAATTTATGAATATCGAGAAATGCGCGATGTGCACGTCTGCACTCGTCGAAAGTCCAAACTATCAGGAATGGAGCCACGTAACTGCAAACGCGGCGTGCGACGTCCACACACAAGATGAACAGACGTCCTTATAAAGCTTGTAGGAAGGCGCATTTGAATTTGAATTTGATTCTGGAAATCATTGAGGGTGGCCTTATGTTTAGAGTGGCTGAAATGATGATGATTAATAGTTACGTTGGCCATTTACGCGCCTTTTTTTTCTATGCAGAAGCTAGGCATTTGACCGTAATCCCAATAGATGTATGAGATGCAGCCTAGGATTGTAAATACCTGCTCTGTAAGTGCCGATTCACTCTTGAAAATGTGCGGATTATAGTGTTTTTTAGAGTTCGAGCCTTTTTCAGGGCTCGAGCCTTTTACAAGCTTTTTATTACTTTCATTTGAAAGTCCAGTTAACTTTTGTGTTAAGATCGTTCTATTTAATAAAACTGCAGAAATTCTGATACCTACACTAAAATAAGTACATATTTCAAAAACGTTTTTCACAAAAGGACACAAATCAAATAATGATTAGGTACCTACATACGATTAGAATTATAACTTTTCCTAACAAAATAAAATATAAGTTTAAGAATCTTATAATAAAAATCAATGTAGGTGATGTTTTTTTATTTTTTTCGAAGGTTTGAGCTCATTTGAAGGTTCGAGCTCTTTTGAAGGTTCGAGCTCTTTAGAAGGCTCGAGCTCTTTTAAAGCCTCGAGGCATGGCTCAGAGAGCTCGCAGCTCGGCTAAGCTCGGGGCACCGAGCCTACCGAGCTCACTGAGTCTTGCCATTCTGCTTCGAGGCTTCAAAAATAGGACTCGACGCCGTCGTATAAGAGTCAGCGAAACGATTTGTGAGCTGGTAGAATGTCGACAAATTAGGAATGGTACTCTAACATGTTAAAATAACTTCTTTTTAAATTACAGTTCTCATGCCCATATGCCCGCCCCCGTGGTACCTATCACCAACGGCTGCTTTCTATGCCATGAGGATATTAAGTGGTGGGGGTAAGTGAAAAAGCCTTCGGAATATCTTCTTCTTCATCTTTTTTGATGTTGGCAATACACGTCGGGGCCGACTTGATTTGTGCCATTTTCAAATAAGTGAGACGAGTTACAAAATGGAACCAAGTGGGATGGGACTTGGGTTAATGATATAATGAAGAATGATAGAAGAGACCCCTTCCCACCCTTTCTTTGAATACAGTTCTGTTTCTTTTAAAAAATAAAGGAATGTTTTATTTGAGTAAAAATTTCTATCTACAGTAGTACTCTTAATAAGAGTACCTTCCCTCCAGGTGGCATTACAAAATTCCACCCTGTATAGTTTCCAACATGGCAAAAATTGGAACCAGTGATCCGGATAGTTGTTCTTATTTCGCGTAGTATTAAATTATTAATAGACATCAGAATTTCAATAATTTATTATCGATCTGTCTATTACCACAGTTTTATTTCTATTGAATGTCACAATCACTACAATGTCTGTTGTTTCAGACTGTTACGATCCTATAGTCAGAGTGTACCTAATGGACTATGTAAGTCTGGAGGATTGCCATGCGTATTACAAAGAAAACAACGTAAGTATTTTAGGATCAACTGTTATGAAAAACAATCCTACTACCCGTTCGCGCTGTTTGCCGGTCCGTGGAATGCACGTCCAACGTGGATTAAACGCAATTAGTTAGTGATTAAACGCAATTAAGTGTTTTATTTTACGCAAATACACAATTTTTATCAATATTAATAAATAAAAAATATTTTCAATATAGTTCGCTATAGTTATAGACGCTTTCCTTCGAGTGACGTCATATCGCCAGCGGCAAACTTATCGCGAAAGGATAGTACTTCCTATTTAAGGTCATAGCAGACTTATCAACTTAGAAAAGGATCTTCTCATTTTTTTTCGAAAGAAAAAAAACAAATAATTATTAAATGCTCCAAATTATTAACCCAATAAATTAATTATTAAACCAATAAATTGTCAGAAAGATAATTTCAGTTACAGAGTAGGTAGGTTACTTAACCCTTAAACATATTTTTTTTATATAATAATATGTATTATAAATTTAACCCTTTTTACTAAAGCTTTTTAGCTTTAAGTAGATATAGAATGTATTTTATTTTCAATTAAATCTTTTAGTAGATCTATCATTGTTATATTCGAGGGGCCATGCAGAAAGGCAGTGATTGAAATGTGCTGTTTTATTTGGAGGAATCCAAAATTTCAATTTGTCTTTCGCTAAAAGTTCCAAATTAATCAAAATAAAGAGAAAATAAAATAGACTATTTATTTAACACCATTCCCCAATAATTCGAAATCACAACTTTAAAAAGAAACTTCATTCTGGTTTTAAAACACTTATTTAATTTTTAATTAACATGCAAATTGAGATTTTTGGTTGCATTGTAATTGAAAAAAAACCGGCCAAGTGCGAGTCGGGCTCGCGCACAAAGGGTTCCGTAGCAGCAAATATAATAAACTTATTATGTCAATTTATACACCTGGTGAATGGAGCCTAAACTCTCCCGATATTTTGCCTTGTACTTTTATGTATGAATATTAATTTTATATATGTATTTATAAATATTCCGAGCTAAANGGCAAGCGGAAGGTCGTGGGTTCAATTCCCGCCTTAGGCAGTTCGATTTTTTCAAGTTATTTATAATTTTCAAATGAAAAAAAGTAGTTTAATTGCGTTGACAAAATAGTGACGTCATTGGCTAGTATTGCCGTACAAAATGTCTCGTTTTCCAAATTTTAAAAAATTACGCTAAATGGGATGTTTCCTGGGTCAAAAAGCAACCGTTTTATTTGTTAGATTGACAAATAAAAATATATGTGTCCAATATTTTTGATATTAAACATGACGGACTAAAAAAATTTTTTTTAAGAAACTAGCCTATTGATTTTTCTTTTAGCTGGACGACAGCGATATGTGGCCCACGTATCTCGCCTGCGGCAAAGCGATGCAGGGCGGCGAGTGTCTCTGGGTGGCGGGGACAGCTCTCACAATATATCAGAATGGAAGGTGGCATATGGTAAGCTCCAATCAGTTTGTGTGAATCTTTTCTTATAGGGTTTAGGGTTATGTATCCAAAGGGTAAAAACGGCACCCTATTAATCACCCCTGAATCGGGCGTTGCTGTTCAAAACGACACACTCCAAGGCCCCGATTGTGCTAATTTGTAACGACTCCAATTTATTCGCGTTTCAACTTCAACCGCGCGCGATTCGCGCTCCAATTTCATTCCAGCTGATGTGCAATTCGGTATCACGGTAAAGTTCACGCGCTAACAAATACTAAACAACAGATAAAATTATCACTTCACGGGATTTTAAAACAAAACTTTTATAGTAAACTAGCTGACCCGGCGAACTTTGTTCCGCCTTAATGGCAATAAATAAGCAGACTTTTTTTTTTTAATTTCGAACGGGATAAAAAGTATCCTATGTCCTTTTCCTGGCTCTAAACTACCTCCCTGATAATTTTCAGCTAAATCGGTTCAGCCGTTCTTGAGTTATAAGCGAAGTAACTAACACGACTTTCTTTTATATATATAGATAGATAACCTAAACTACCTTTACCCAGTGCTAGTGGGCTGAGTGTGAGTTTACATCTAACGTTTACATCAAACTAGTGAGCGCGTTAGAAAAATGTATGAAAATTTTAGATCTTGAACGTTTCCGCTAGGGGCGCTGTACAATCCGTCATACATTTACGCGCTCACATGCAAACTCACACTAGGCCTTCATGGGGCTAGTGTATGAGTTTACGTCAAACGCATTCGATATCGACTGCGTTAAAAATATATGAAGATTTTAGTTCTTGAAAGTTTCCGCTAGGGGCGCTATACAATCCGTCATACAATGTAATTTTTTAGGCAGTCGATATCGAATGCGTTTGACGTAAACTCACAATATGGCCCCAGAGCACGAAAAACTTTTTGCGTATTTGACAAAATTCTACGCCTTGGAATTCAACGATAACGTGACGATCTCGATTGTCAAAATTTGTTTCGGGCTACCATTTTCTTATACTAAGTTCACTTTACGTCATGTTCATAGGGGCGCTGTTTAAGTTTTCATACTAAATCGTTTGATGGCGTTTTGAATACGCAAACGAATCAAAGTTTAAAGTTTTTGTGGTAGAGATGCAGCAGTGGACGTCATTTGGCTGGACATATTTTGGTCCATAAGTCTAGATATCAGCACGTCACTACTTTGTTTGTTATACTACGCAATCTTCTATACCTATTTTTGTACGATACACCATACAAGAATAGTAGTAAATTCAGAGAACTGCTCCTGAATCAATATATACCTACTACTGCAATTTCTTTTTATTTATATCAACCGGCAGACAGTGGTGAACTGGTGACTGAGTTTGTGTCATAAGTTTTGTATCATAAGTGCCACTAGTGGTCTAAATTGAATAAATATTTTCTTCTCAGCACTAGCCCAATGTTGTTGGTTTCGAAGCGCTGGCAGGGCAATAAAAAGATTATGAGGCAAGGCAATAATAATCAAAATGTTAGTTTTTTTTTGTTAGTTTAATATTTGACGATTTGTAAGCACTATTTTTTAATAATTCATGCAAATAAAGGAATTTTGACTTTGACTTTGAACGCCATGATATCTTTCTGCAGGCGGCGTTAGGAGTGTATGGGCCAGGTTGCGAGGCGCCTGCCCGGTTCCTGGACTATTTCCTGTACCATGACTGGGCCTCGCGTAGTTACTCGAGTCCCAGCAGGACAACACTCAGCAGAGTGGGTTCAAATGAAGTCATTTTAAGAAGATGTAAGTAGGTCTTTCACTCTAAAAAGAATTAGTTTGCATTTTTCTATATTTCATTTTGTATTTCTTTTTACAATTTTATTTATACTATTTTTCATTCGGCGAATCGTGCTTATTTTGACGTTTCTGATTTTGAAATGGCGGAAATATTTTAAATGTTTCGAACGCGAATGCGGCGCGCCATTGTGCACATAACAATTTGCACGTGTGCACATCATCGCTCATGCTCGCAGTCTGAACCCGCTAGGTATATTAAATTAACTTTATGAAGGACCTGTCTGTGTTGCGCGAAAAGCGCTTGTCAGTCTAACTATACACGACGTCAGCAAGGAACGTGAAACAGATTCATAAATGGACTGAAAAATAAAACGTATTTTATTTTACGTACACAGCGCTAACACACGTACGAAGGTACGGGCCCTGCGACGATGAGGAGAGGCAATATGAGATCTATGGTGACAGGACAACTATAGACCACGACGTGCAAAAAAGGGGGAAGGCTGTATACAATGTGAGCTTTTTTTAAGTATTTTTAAACCAGATGGTTGCTTTGTAATGAGGGTTTTGGCGAATGAAAGATCCGCTAGATGGCGGGACGTGGATGTGGGGTCTGACTGCTGCGTGATTGGTGGATTTTGACATATCTGTCAATGTCATGTCAAAAATAACCAATCATGCAGCATTTGAACCTCGCGTCTACGTATTGCCATCTGGCGGATTTTTCGTTCGCGAAAACCCTCATTGAAAAAAGTTAGTCGATAGAGTTTGCAAAATAATGACGTCATCTGGGGCATAGTGTCAGTTTGCGTCAAGCGCATTCGATATCGACTGCGTTAAAAAATAAATGAAGGTTTTAGTTCTTGGAAGTTTCCGCTAGGAGGGCGCTGTACGAACCGTCAAACGTCATTGTGTGTCATTTTTTACGCACTCGATATCGAAATCGTTTGATGTAAACTCACACTACGCCCTAGCCGGCGTGCACGATGACGATGGCGATCAGACTTTCGCATTGATCGCCATCGCGCACGCGGGCTGCACGCGTTGGTTTGGTCGAACTTTGTGATCTGCCACAGTGGTGGATTACAAGCGTTTTCTAAGCGGAGCGACCACGTAGCGAACACGTGTTGTGGATGCATCGATACAGTTCATACCTACGGTCACAATGCGGTCGCTAGCTGCCCTCGCCCATATAAATGCGTTTCTGTCGTGATGCAAACGCGATTCAGTAATCATCTTTTCTTTCCCCGATGTCGTCCGACACGGTCGCGCGTTGCATCGACACAGTCGCGCTGCATTGCTTCTGTAGTGCGTTGCAAATGCGACAAACGCGCGTTAGTAGCGATGCTGTCGCTCGTTTACGAAACGCGCGACAGCATCACTACAAAAAGTCGTGCCGTGGGCGAGGGGCGCCCTTAGAGCGCTTCCACATTTAGCAGCGCAACAAACGCGCGACAGACGCGCTGCCGAAAATTTCATACTATGTGATAGCGGATGCATGCCTTTTACATTATAAAAACACCGCTGCCGCGCTGCTGTCGCGCTTCTAATGCCTTGATCACACGTACCGAGCAAACGGGCGAGACAGTGCTTTCGGCTGAGTACTCGGTGTGTTGTATGAACATGTCTCGCTCGTTTACTCGGTACGTGTGATCAAGGCTTTAAGCCAGTAAAATGTTTACTCGGTCGAGACAGTTGGGTGAGCGAGTCACATACTCGAGCGCTCGGCCGAGCACTCGGCGTAATGTTCATACACATCGAGTACTCGGCCGAGAGCACTGTCTCGCCCATTTGCTCGGTACGTGTGACCAAGGCTTTAAAGTAGGCGCACACCGTTGATTTTTAGTTGGCGGATAGTTGTTGTGCCCGATTTTAAATTGTATGAAGAATCGGCCAAATCGAATCGGCCTAGTGTGCGCACTCCCATACATGCCCATACTGATCAACTGCCCGACAAAACTATCGGTCGACGAAAAATCAACGGCGCGGTGTGCGCCTACTCTTAAATTCTTAATTGAACGCGGCAGCTGACGTTGCTGGACACCGTGGAGTATTCGTGCGTGGTGGTGCGCGCCGACAACGCACTCGGCGGCGCCGCGCCGCGCCTGCGCCTGCGCCGCTTCTGCGCGTCCACGGCGCAGTTCTGCTACGACCAGCACCACCTCGAGGTCAAGTTCCACGTCACCATACACTTCGTTGGTACGCCATCATCCGCTCAATTTTAAAAACCTGCCCCCCTAGACAAAACGCACTTTTTGATCGAATCGAAAATCGAATCTGTCAAAACTCCATACAAAAAAGGGGCTTTTCGACCACTTTTCGACTGGTTTGCGATCATAATTTGCACTTTGTCTAGACCCACTGTACTTCTAGCATGAACAACTTTCGTCTTCGAATCGTTTGCGTATTTGACATAATTCGATACTCAACCTTCGAATTAAACGATAACGTGACAATTTTGATTCTCAAAATAAGTTTCGTGCAACCATTTCTCATATTAAGTTCACTTTACGACACGTTCACAAGGGCGCCTGTTGTAGTTTTCTTACTAAATCTTTTGATGGCGATTCGAGTACGCAAACGATTTGAACTCGAAAGTTTTTCGTGCTAGCCGTATAGGTTCTTCGATCTTCACCGGATCGTCGGTCCACCTAGTGGGAGGCCTGCCTACGCTACGTCTTCCGGCGCGCGGTTAGAAGACGTAGAGTAGGGTCTATAATCACCTTAAAAACGACCCAGGCGTTTGGTCTCTATAGTGCTTCAAAGGAACATACATACATAGGCTAGGCTGTTAAACACATTACCACTCCTTTGTGTCGCGCAGTCGGGTAAAAATAAAATTACTTCGACAGCTTTATCACCTTCGAAGTTCCCCAGTGTTAATTTTTTTTTATTTCAGGCCCCACAACATACCAAGTAAGAGCATACGGGAAGCCAGTCGTAACAATAGACCCGAAGCAAGCCATGAAGTATATAAACCAATTCGCTAAGCACCCTGAATTGCCTAAGTATAATACATTTTTTGACATGTTCTATCAGGATAGCGTTAACTACTCGTGGGTACCAGGATGGAAGCATGGATCTTACAAGGGCTTTAAAATTAGACGGTACGAAGTCTATGAACATTGCATGCAATGGTCTATAATGCCCCGAGACAAAAAATACTGTGGGCAATTGGAGTTTGCCGTTGAACCAACCTGGTGGTTTAAGAGGAAAATACAAAATAATTATTTTGGAATACCCGATAGGACACGCCATTTCATATGGCGTTATGAAGGACAAGAAGAAAAATTACAATACAACATCGCCGGTTACGAACCAATAATAGGGTCTGCACTTCAAAAGAGACGAAATCAATTCTTGGACCGCCTTTTTTTAAACGATCCTTATAATCCTGATCCGTACTTAGTTATATATGTCTTAAAAGGTTATAGGCATGTACCTACTGAATATTATCCTATAATCTTTTCAGTTGGCAGGCCTGTATAGAAGAATCTAGAAATATAGACATGATGTCAATTAAAAATTATACATCTACTATTACTAATACCTACTATATTATTATTATTAATATATAAAGCTGAAGAGGTTGTTTGGTTGAATAACCTTTGGTTTGGCCCTAAGGTTGACTGGAGGAAAATGCCGAAAGGCATTAAGTCCGCCTTATGTGCACCGTTCTATGTGCATATAAGTTTAAATAATAATAATAATACTAATGCGCTAATCTCAGGAACTACTGGTTCGAAAATCTGGGATTTTTTCCTTTTGAGAGCTGTCGCTGTCGCTGCGTAAACGGTTAAAGTTTCACAAAAATCATACTGAGCAGAGACCAATTTGGTACAATGTATTTTGCTTTTTAAGTTGATTGTACATATTGTTTTATTTTTTGATACCAAATAAACGATTTTTCTTTTTTTCTTTATTTCTTTCAAAAATAATTTTTATATGACAGGATTGTTCCACTTTAAAAGTTGTAAAAAAAGTCCACGATCGCATATTATGTCTTAAGGTTGGCTCACTATAACCTTTTTATGCCAACCAAATCATCATCAAAATTACCATATACAGGCCAAGAGCTTCCTCGATGTGGGTAAAAAAAACTGTTTAAAAATAATGCATTAAATTAAATTGCTGTTTTAAATTAATGCGTGAACAGACCACGCGGACGTTGCCCAGGGTGCACCACGAGGAGGTCCCTCACCATCGCACTCCAGAGTTCATATACTGGATTGGCTCAATGCTCAATTGAATATTGGCTGCCACAGCTTGACTGCCTTACGTAACGATTGATTTATTTATATTGTTTGACGTTCATAGGTGTCAAAATATTGGTTAAAATTGAATGAAATATTTTTGATTTGGTCCCGCTCGATTCGCTGGTATTTAAAGGGTTAAATTACGAGTAATCAATTAAACATTTATATCGGTCCAGTGGTTTCGGAGCCTATTCAATACAAAAATACAATCTTTCTTCTTTATTATTAGATAGAAGTCTACATAGCGACTGGTTGCTAAGATTCGTAATAAACCCGCCGGTCGGGACGGCATACCGACATAGTCAGTTGTTGTGAAACGAAACGCCAACTTATTGTTGTGGAATAACAAATAAATTCCTTCAAACCAAACAAAGTTACTTACTGCTCTGTACTTCAACTCTACTCTGTACTTTGTACAGCTATTCTGTACGCCAGTTGATCGTTTATGAATTTGACATAAACTGTGTTCAAGATGGGTTAAAAATCAACATTTATTTATTTTAACAATAGTAAATGTGTGTATGTAAATAAATAAATAAATAAATTTTATTTCAATCAAAGACATGACAAAGTAACTTTTCAGCATGCTAGTGAACCATAATTTTGTTCTTGGTGTTTTTTATATAACTTTCATTGATGGTGGTGAGTAATTATTGGGTGCGTGACGGATTGTATACAGGGTGATTTTGTTATCAGTATCCAAATTTTTAGGAGCGACTCAGAATCAGTAACATAATCGATTTACGTAAAAAAAAAACAATATATATTTTTTTCATATTTCATTATTTTTATCCGCTGCGCGCGGCTCACGTGGATAATTTACTTCGTTCATAGAAAAATACGTAAGTTTACTACAAAGCTTAATAGACACAATAGTACGCGAAAATAAGCCTTAATCTTTAAAAAATAAGATATGCACCCACGAATTAAATTTTCAATTAATATTTTCGCGAAAAATACCGCGATTAACGTTAATTAAAATAAAGTTGTATTTTTAAATTGTTCTATAAAGCTTATTAAAATTTGGATACTGATAACAAAATCATCCTGTATAACTTTTATGTTATTATAAATTAATAAGTACCCATACATACAAACTTTAGTACTTATAACATAAGTAGGTCTAGCTATACATCACACACACACACTCACACACACACACACACTCACACACACACACACACACACACACACACACACACACACACACACACACACACACACACACACACACACACGCACACCCACGCACGCACGCACACGCACACACACACACGCACGCACACACACACACGAGCGTGGTACTTATAATGGAAATAAATAAATTAACTGTTGCATCAAACGTAGCGCATGTAGCGCATATTATATGNTCTAAACTTACATATTAAGAAACTAGTAGAAATGACTCGCATACATAAATTTGAATAACTTGGATTGACCAGTCCCCGAAAGCAGCGCCTGTTCACAGACATGACGAGTGAACCAGCCATCGCTTCACTCGACCATATTAGAGGGAATGTAACGACCCGCCTCAAATTAGTACAGTTAATTATTATTCCTAAATACTACGATTTTACATTAAAGAAGGATAACAGTGCTGTTGGAACAATAAACCTTGATTGTGACGATGATCGACCGAGCGTGTATAGAAATACGCGTGTGCTCACAGGCGCGTGGCGGTCCTGACTAGGGATATTCGATATACATCGATGTATTGAAAACATCGATGTTTACAATGCGATACATCGAATGGATCCGATGTTTTGAAAAGCTATTGAAATACTCGATGTATCGATGTTTTTAAGTTTTCAGTATTAAAACATCGAATCGATGATAACCAATTAAAATTTCATAAAACTCAAGTCTGACCACTAAAATTTTACTTATACGGACAACCCAACTTGTATTTTAAAAATGTTGGTAACACTGCATACGAGTGCAGTGAGTAGTGTCTCTAGTGACAATAAAAAAAAACTGTTATGTCAATGTCGCGTCACGCGTGTCAGTTGGCGAGTTTGTTTGTGTCAATCAACAAAGAAATAGGCTGAAAGGCAAACGTTTAAATAAACTGTTGTTTTTGCAAAGTCTTCCAAAAGAACTCTGGAAATACTTGGGATATAAAAAATAATACAAAGTAATAAAAACCACCTGTTATGGGGGCATTATTTGGAGAAATTTATCAAATAACCAAAAAAACACGAATTTTAAAGCAGATTTTTTTCAAAAAGTATATTTTTTTATTATTTGTTGGCATTTTCTAGATATTTTATATATTTTTTTAGTATCGCTTATTATTAAGCATTATTACTGTTTTTATTTGATAAGGATATACCTCTTAGTTTAAAAGTTATTAAAATCTATAAAAAATAAAAAAAAATCTCAAAATTTTTTGACCTTTTTTTTGTCGATAAAAATAGGTCTAGTTTCACCTATTTTCATATGTGCACTTTAACGTGACTCACACTGTATAATGAAGATTTTTCTCATGTATGGCTTTTACTGTTTTTTAATAATACAATGCTTAAATTAGTGGATTATAAAAAATCTTAAAAAAGTACTCGATTTATACAAAACATCGATGTTTTCTTCCAATACATCGAAAGAAATCGATGTACAGTTTCAAAATATCGAATCGAAAAAAACATCGATGTTTTTTCAAAGTGGACACCCCTAGTCCTGACTGATTTGCAACTTGAAGTTGTCGCGCGCTGTAGGTAATTATCTCGGCCGGCATAGGCGAGTGACGCACGGTGGGCTGATATTAGAGCTTCATAGACTTAGCGTCGCTCAAAAATCAAGTGCCGAATTTTGAAAAAATAAATATGCCAATGTGTTCCTTTACCAAAAAGGAATATTTTATGTTATGTAACGTTTCTTGATAAAGTTATTATTTAATAAGTTATTGACAATTTCCTTTTTTTTTGTATGGAGTTCAACATTTATTTTTATTTTATTCGTTATTCTNGTCAGGGTTGAATAAGCAAATTAAAATAAATAAAAACTTAATTTTAAGAAGCATTTATTGTATTTACGATTGGTAAACTTTAATCTAGTGTTTTTTTTATAATCGTACCATCTCTAAAGTACCTATTAATAAACTTCAGTTTTGCGATAATTCTAAATTGGACACACAGTTTTAAAAGGTGTAGTGTCGGAAAATAGACACGGTGAAGTAAAAGTTAATGTTTTTATTAGCTAAATAATTTTTTTGTTACAGTTTTTTGTCATAAGTATTTCAAAATTATTTAAAGAGTAGTTTTTTTTAATTATTTAAATTACTACAGTTAATTATTATTCCTAAATATTACGATTTTCCATTAAAGAAGAATAACAGTGCTGTTGGAACAATAAACCTTGATTGCGACGATAATCGACCGAGCGTGTATAGAAATACGCGTGTGCTCACAGGCGCGTCACGGCGCATGGCGGCCTTGACTGATTTGCAACTTGAAGTTGTCGCGCGCTGTAGGTAATTATCTCGGCCGGCATAGGCGAGTGACGGAGGCCTGCTACTGGTTCGAAAATCTGGGATTTCTTCCTTTTGAGAGCTGTCGCTGTCGCTGCGTAAACGGTTAAAGTTTCGCAAAAATCATACTGAGCAGAGACCAATTTGGTACAATGTATTTTGCTTTTTAAGTTGATTGTACATATTGTTTTATTTTTTGGTACCAAATAAATATTTTTTTCTTTCTTTATTTCTTTCAAAAATCATTTTTATATGACAGGATTGTTCCACTTTAAAAGTTGTAAAAAAAGTCCGCGATCGCATATTATGTCTTAAGGTTGGCTCACTATAACCTTTTTATGCCAACCATAACATCATCAAAATTACCATCAGTGTGCCTACCATGAGTTTACGTCAGGTGTGCTCGCTAGCGACTGCGTAAAAAAATGACATTTAAATGTATGACATATTGTGCAGCGCCCCTAGCGGCTAATTTCAAGAAATAAAATCTTCATAGAATTTTTTGACGTATTCGCTAGCGAGCGCACCTAACGTAAACTCATGGTAGGCACACAAGTGATATACAGGCCAAGAGCTTCCTCGATGTGGGTAAAAAAAAACTGTTAATAATGCATTAAATTAAACTAATGCGTGAAACAGACCACGCGGACGTTGCCCAGGGTGCACCACGAGGAGGTCCCTCACCATAGCACTCCAGAGTTCATATACTGGATTGGCTCAATGCTCAATTGAGTATTGGCTGCCACAGCCTGGCTGCCTAGTGCGCGGGAGGCGTTGTGGTCGCATGAGACCGCGCGGTAACGATTGTATTATTTATATTGTTTTTGACGTTCATAGGTGTCAAAATATTGGTTAAAATTGAATGAAATATTTTTGATTTGGTCCCGCTCGATTCGCTGGTACTTGAAGGGTTAAAATACGAGTACATAAAACACTAAAACTCAGTAAAACTCATTTATTTCTGTAAGTAGGCTTTAAAAAGCACTTTTACACGTCCCATATATCAATAAAACATTTATATCGGTCTAGTGATTTCGGAGCCTATTCAATACAAAAATACAATCTTTTTTCTTTATTATTAGATAGAAGTCTACATAACGACTGGTTGCTAAGATTCGTAATAATCCCGCCGGTCGGGACGGCATACCGACATAGTCAGTTGTTGGTTGTTGTGAAACAAAACGCCAACTTATTGTTGTGGAATAACAAATAAATTCCTTCAAACCAAACAAAGTTACTTACTGCTCTGTACTTCAACTCTACTTTGTACTTTGTACAGCTATTCTGTACGCCAGTTGATCGTTTATAAATTTGACATAAACTGTGTCCAAGATGGGTTAAAATCAACATTTATTTATTTTATTTTAATCAAACACATGATTAAGTAACTTTTCAGCATGTTAGTGAACCATAACTTTGTTCTTGGTGTTTTTTATATAACTTTCATTGGTGGTGGTGAGTAATTATTGGGTGCGTGACGGTTTGTATACAGGGTGATTTTGTTATCAGTATCCAAATTTTTAGGAGCGACTCAGAATCAGTAACATAATCGATTTACGTAAAAAAAAATCAATATTTTTTTTCATATTTCATTATTTTTATCCGCAGCGCGCGGCTCACGTGGATAATTTACTTCGTTCATAGAAAAATACGTACGTTCAATTACTACAAAGCTTAATAGACATAATAGTACGCGAAAATAAGCCTTAACCTTTAAAAAATAAGATATGGGACCCACGAATTAAATTTTCAATAATTTTTTACGCGAAAAATACCGCAATTAACATTAATTAAAGAAAGTTGTATTTTTAAATTGTTCTGTAGAGCTTATTAAAATTTGGATACTGATAACAAAATCATCCTGTATAACTTTTATGTTATTATAAATTCATAAGTATTTAATAAATTCATTTTATTATCGTTCATATTGCAAATTCGTGTTCATTCTCACAAAAGTTTTAAATTATAATAAAGTTATAGATGCACTTGAAGTAATTTATACACTCAACATCAAATAAACCGCATTTTCCGCGACGCGAACTTTAAAGATTTTCTTCTGACACAGTCACGGTGCCCCAACAATATTGGTGTTATTTGAAAGCCCAATAATATTCTTAAAGAAAAACACATTTAAATTCTAAATAAATGATTGTGTGAATGTGACTTGAAAAAAGACCTCACTTTGGGTTCACCTTTGGGATCAATTAGAACAAATTTTATGGTTATAAAACCAAATAATGATCACGACGTGTCCTCATTAACAGATGGATAGCAATTAATCCCAACTTGACAGTTTTATACCCATAAAAGTTGGCTCAAGCGTAACCACCTATTTTTTGAAGAAGTGACTCTGGATTCTTCTACAGAGACATTTTTGGGGTAAAAACCTTTCCTTTAATGAAATGAAGTTTAGAACTAGGCTTTTAAATGGTGCCAATATTGGTGGGAAGTGGGGATGCATACGTTTGAAAGTGCTTGTCGCGGGAGGATCGATTTTTGTGATGACCAGTGAATTATTCCCTTAAGGAATGCCTGCTGAGAATAACTACCGAAATTCAACGTGTGGAATAGACAAGTCTCCCGTGGACTTTATTTATGAAGGGGTGGCCAAAATTGAGACGTACCCTTGGCTTGGATATTTGGTCTATCATTCAGGTAAGTGCTTTTTACTCTCCGTACATACCGACTTTTGTCGGCCGATAGTTTGGTCGGTCTGCTATCAAGATGGACGTATGAAGTCCAGGGATGTTATGGATATCCGTAACCGTAACAGAAACTATCGGATATCCGAAACTATCGGATATCGCCATCGCCATTGCGCACGCCGGCTGCACGCGTCGGTTTGGCTGAACCTTAATAGGTGCCAGTTAATATGTTACAATTTGAACTGTAGATCGTTTCATCCACGAAGACGCGCCCCACCAATTTTTGGTCGAAGGAAGCGCGGGGTGCGGGGAGTTTGATCCCAGCAATCCGAGCGTCATTATTGTAGTGTGCGTGTGCACTCATTGATAAATTTAGCGTGTACCGATTCGCTGATGAATGGTGGGGCGCGTCTTCGTGGATGAAACTAAAGCCTGGTCCGTGAGCACATATATAATTTTGTCCAATGACCACAAGCTACCCATCCTTATCGCTCGCGCGTAATTATGTTGCTGTCGCGCTCGCACACTCACTGCGGGCGCCCGTCGCACAGTCGCGACAGCAATATAATTACACGCGAGCGATAAGGATGGGTAGCTTGGGGTCATTGGACAAAATTCTACGTGCTCACGGACCAGGCTTTATCTGTACTCTGTTTTAGGCAACACTCGCCGCACGACCGCGGTGGTGCTGGTCACCAAGCAGATGGTGATCGGAACAGCAATCGAGATAGACCACATCCCCAAACGTGACTTCAGGTTAGTTAAGAGCCCCCTCCTTTTTGAAGTCGGCTAAAAACGCGTTGAGATTAGAAGGGATCCCTTCCTTTCGCATTCATGTTTTTACATTTTATAATTTTGGTTTTTTTTTCGCATAATATTATTTCCTTAACCGATTTAACTTAGTTAAGTACTAGCTTTTGCCCGCGGCTTCACCCGCGTGAAATTTAGTTTGTCACAGATCGTCATAATTTATAGCCTATATGTTATTCTGGGTTATAAACAATAATACTGTAAAGTTTCATCAAAATCCGTTCAGTAGTTTTTGCGTGAAAGAGTAAAAAACATCCAGACATCTAGACATCCACACAAGCTTTCGTATTTATAATATTAGTAGGATTATAGTGTTAAAATAGGTTAAAGTGCCCTAAACCAACAGACAAAATATTTTTTTTTGTATTATACGTAATTACCTACATTATGCCAAGATGCTAAAAATGTTATGCAAATGGATAGGGAACCGTAGTGGAACCGCGGACATTGTAGAGTAATATTTTTAACGCCATCTAGTGAGAGTAGCGCGGGTTATTTTCAGCGCCGCGTACTGCCTACAGCCTGAAACCAGGCTGAAGTCACCCCTCACTTGCCACGATCCTTGTCGCCGATGTATTTCGAAGTTCCTTGGTGCGACGCTAGGTGTCAGAAAATGAAGATTTGGAACCAATATTCTGAGTAGAGAACACAGTGTGTAACATTTGATTTACTTTTTGCAACTAGCGACCCGCCCCTGCTTCGCACAGGTACAATGTATTTATACTTAAAAACCTTCCTCTTGAATCTAAGCATACATAGGGACAGACAGACAAAAAAGTGACCTTGTTTTTTAATAGGTTAAAAGAAGACCTTGTTTTTAAAAGATTAATGAGTAACATCAACTTTATTAGAACTTTAGGAATTTTACACTACGCTATCGAATTTGTACAATGTAGGTAAATCAAGTGGGCGGGGCACATAGCTTGCATAGTTGATGGCCGTTGGGGCAAAAAAGTTCTCGAGTGGCGACCTCGGGCCGGAAGACGTAGCGTGGGCAGGCTCCCACTAGGTGGACCGACGATCTGGTGACGATCGCGGGAAGAACCTGAATCCGGGCAGCGCAGGACCGGTCATTGTGGAAATCCTTGGAGGAGACTTTTGTCCGGGAGTGGACGTCATTTGGCTGAAACGACTTCTTGTGTTTAATCTTACAGAGTCCGAGCAAGAGTGTACCTGGGTCGCAACTGCTCCTCAACGAGCATCCCCGTGAGAGACTACACGTACCACCCGGATTATATTAAACAGTCCCACAGCGCTCTGGCTCTCATACAACTGGACTTGGACCACGTGCGTCAAGGTAGTATAAGAAAAAACTTTAATGACACTGTATTTAGTTAGATTATTAGCTTACCACGATGGGTTAACGGGATTTTTTTTATCCACAACGAGGAAGCTCTTGGTCTGTATCTCACCTGATGGTAAGTGATGATCAGGCCGAAGGTGGAAGCGAGCTTCACCCGGAATCCTCAACCACGGAGGAACTGGCTATCTTACCTCTAACTGCCGGAACACAATAATGCTGTTAACATTATTGTTATGGCGATGATTATTAATAATTTGCTTTTACAAGTTGCTAATATTCTTTCTTATATATTTTACAGAATTGACATTCATATGTTCGCCGCCATCACACTTCATTGAACCTGTGTTCTACGCAATGACTCTGTCTGTTGGTAAATTTCATGTTTTTTAAACTATGTAAAGTCCATAATTCCAAGCTTGGTATTAAATACATTGTCTTTATTATATTCTAAAGTACGATTAGCAAGCTGAAGTCTCAATGGGCTGGGCACATAGTACGAAGAACTGAAGGCCGATGTGGCAGCAAGGTTCTGGAGTGGAGGCCATGTACCGGAAAGCGCAGCGTAGGACGTCCATCCTCAAGGTGGACCGCGCCGACCTCATGTAGGTAGCAGGAAGGCACTGGATGCAGGATGCAGGCCGCTGGCAGTGGCAACCGGTCATTATGGGAATCATTGGCCTATGTTCAGCAGTGAACGTCCTATGGATGAAATGATGATGATTCTAAAATACAATTAAACAGTTATTGGACTTTTCAGATTGCAAGAAACCAATTGTACAGCTATATCAAATGGAGTACGTCGACCCTGTACAATGCAAAATTTACTACAGGAAATCTGGCGTGCGTATTGATTTTAGTTCCTAAAATTACCTATACCTATGCTTAACTAACTTGCCAGCGGCAGAAGTACTTATCGTGCTCTTTCAAAAACCATAATACTGTAAAGTTTAATGTGTTTAATTTATTATAGTTTCAGTATCAGTTGAAAAAGTCAAATTCATCCATCTTCATAAACATTCACATGTATAGTGTTACATAATAAAGATTTTTTCGATAAATTAGATCAATTGAACTGCAACATTTTCTTTCAGTTGAACCTAAAGGCGTTGTGGCCGACGCACACGGCGTGCGCTCGCGCTCGCTACGGAGGGGACTGCATTTGGGGGGGAGGCACTGTGCTCGTACTCAAGCAAGCGGGGAGATGGAGACTGGTAAAGCCTGGTCTGCGAGTACGTTGAATTTTGTCCAATGACCCCAAGCTACCAACTCGCACACTCACTGCGGGCGCCCGTCGCACAGTCGCGACAGCAATATAATTACGCGCGAGCGATAAGGATGGGTAGCTTGGGGTCATTGGACAACATTCTACGTGCTCACGGACCAGACTATACATACTAGATAAACAGAGTAGACAAAGTAGGCAGAGTAAACAGAGTGGACAGTAGACAGAGTAAACCACCATGGGCCACCAACCACCGTGGGCCCTGCTGGCATATGCTGAGTGGAGTCCCATTGCGATGGACATCGCTGTTGCGACAGGGTAGCAGTGCTCAGTTCACTTTTTACTTCCTTTTAATATTTATGCTATTTCTGTCTTTTTTTCCGTATACCTTCTTTGTCCTTAACTAAGTTATGTTCATCGTAATAAATGTTTCTTTCTTTCTTTCTTTCTCTTAACAGGGTAGACAGAGTAGACAGAATATTATATTTCATTGAACACCAAACAAAGCAGAAATACCAAATCGAAATGGGCCATTTCAAATGGCACAACCTTTGGCAGTCTTTAAATCGCTAATTAATTCAAAGTGCTATAAGATACATTTGTTCACTTGAATTGTTTAATACCTCTAAATATACAGCATGTATGAAGTTTTAAAAATCAAAAATGTCTTTTTGTGTGTTGTCCACAATCGTCAATTTTTTTTCGTAAGGAACCTTTGTGCAAATGTTCTTAATTATGTCTCATTTTTTTTTCGTTTCGAGACAAACATTATTGGCAAGTGCTAAGATGAAGCTTGTCGTTCTCCAGGTTGGCTTCGGAGTGTATGGACCTGGATGCGAGGCCCCGGCGAGGTTCCTGGACTACGGCATGTACCACAGCTGGATCCGGCGCAGCATCCAAAGGATGGGGAAGCCGAGCGTCACTAGGCTCGGGCCAAACCAAGTCATCTTGAGAAGGAGTTAGTACACTATTGACTAGCGACCCACCCCGGCTTCGCACGGTTGCAATGGAATTTCCCGGCTTTTCTCTTCTATAATACCCATAAACCTTCCTATTGAGTTTTATACCTATAAACCTTCTTATTGACACACTCCTGGCACACAATCAGGCGAAGTTATGAGAAGAAGTGATGACATTTATCAACGATAGCAGCCCGAGGCGAAGTACCGTATTTGTGGTGTCAAGCCACAGAAGGGGGAGAATTGACTATGAGAAGGGACATGGATCAGAGAAATTTGTAGGGAGTCAAGCAAAGCGCCCGGGGAAAAGAGCCCAGAGCAAGTACCCGCGCGCTCTCCCGAGATTCGGTTCGTACGCCGTGAGGCAGGAAGAACCATGGGTGGTGGTGGGTTAAACTTTCTTATTAAGTCACAATCTATTAAAAAAACCGCTTCTAAAGATCTAAGCATACATAGGGACAGGCAGCGGAAAGCGACTATGTTTTATACTATGTAGTGATTTCTTGTGAATCTTAAAGGGGCCATTCATTTATTACGTAAGACTATTTTCGCTAGTTTTTGACCCCCTCCCCCATTATTATGTAAGAATCTAAAGAAAAAAATTAATACACGTTTGACGACTAGTACACAAGCCGGGAATTCCCGGGAGGCGCAGTGCGGGTGCACGCGGGTGCGTGGGTCCCATGCCATGGAAATGGAAATCGTTTACCTATACCAGGGGTGGCCAACTTGATTAGACATAAGATCTACTATTTACTAACGAAACCCTGGGCGATCTACCACTTACATACTTCTTGAAATCTTAAATGAACTAGTATACAGTCATATGGAGAGTTCGGTATATTGTACCGCCGGGTAAATTGTACCACCCTCATATTTCGTAAAGTATTTATTGAATGTCTGTAATTGCAACACTCAGCGATACACAACTAAAATCAATTAATATCGGCCATGTGGTTTTTGCCGTGACAACAAACACGTGTGTTTTATTTTGAAAAGTATTTTTTCATTGTTTTCAAGTAACTTTTGACAATACATGTTTAGTTTGTAATTTTGTTAAATTTAATCACATGGTGTTTCCAATATATTATTTAGAAGCGTAAATTAGTGTGGATTACAATTATTTGAAACATTTTTCGGTATTTATAAGCCATATTTTTTACCGATTTTTTAAAAGCACTATCACCTAGTCGGCTAAATTGTACCACATCAAGTTGTATGGAACTTTACCAAAGGATTTTGAATTTTTTTTTAGTAAATCATATTTTGAAGTTATAATAGCGTAGTTATGTTTGACTAACAATAAATGAAAGCAAAAGACTGGCAAAGTAGATTAGGTACAAGTGTGCGTTACGATAATTGGAATTACAAAACTTGTACTCAAAATCGTGATAACGTGTAAAACAATATCGATTGTCTATGTTATTAACTACTGTTCCTTTTCGTTTCCTAATTTGTTAAGAATGTATCGTATAATATTTTGCCATAGTTTTTTTATAGGCTTGAAATTGATTGAAATACAATTTAGTAACCCTGTGGTACAAATTATCGAACCGGTTGGCTAAATTGGACCGAAGCTCTGAACTTGTACTTTGCTGATTTGTGCTTAATATACAACAATCATGTTAATTAATACTTATGAAATAGTAAGTTGAATAATGTATCTTTTATTATATACCATGGACATTAGCAATAACAAAAGAAAACTATGTGTAAAATGGGATTGAAAAAAACTGGTCCAAATTAGCGGACTCTCCCTTATAGTATTTTTTGCCTTGCCACGATCGACTGGACTAATAGTCGCGATCAACCGGTTGGCCACCCCTGACCTATACGCATCCGAGAGAAACTCGCGCGGTTGTCCGCGCTTAGATATTTAAAGTATAATTTAAACTTTGCGCATTTTTGTGATCTTACATAAGAACTATCTAGACTCTCTCCCCCTTGTAAGAAAAAATAAGATATAGTCGAGGGAACACGTACACAACATCATAAAAGTAGCAGGAAGGCGCTGGATACAGGCCGCTACCAACCGCGCGATGTGGAAATCATTGGGGAAGGCCTATGTTCAGCAGCAGTGGACGTCCTATAGCTGAAATGATAATGATATTAGCTCAACTATGTACTTGTGAATCTTAAGCGCTATTCTATTGTATTTAAGTCTATTACACACGACGCCGCCACCGCGCCGCCGCAGCGCCGACGCCGCGCCCCTACACTGTTCATACGCGCCGCGTAAAGCCCGCCGCCACCACGCCGCAACCGCGCCATCAAAGCATAATTTCACCGCCGGCGCGGCAGTGGGCTTCACGCAGCGCGTATAAGAGTAGGCGCACACCGTTGATTTTTAGTTGGTCGATAATTGTGCTCGATTTTGATTTGTATGAAGAATCGGCCAAACCGAATCGGCGTAGTGTGCGCACTCCCATACATGCCCATACTGATCAACTGCCCGACTAAACTATCGGCTAACTAAAAATCAACGGTGTGCGCCTACTCTAAACAGTGCAAAGGCGCGGCGGTGGCGCGGCGGTGGCGTCGTGTGCAGGAGCGCTAAACCTGTGTCCATATAAATGCAGGTCTCGCCAACGTCCAGAGGTACGGGCCCTGTGACCTGGAAGAGATCAAAGAAGAGCTGTACACTGACGAGACCACCATCCGAGCTGACAAGTCTGGCCCGAGGAGGCTGAGGTATAATGTTAGTACGAAAGTATATCTTATAGGTGTGGTAAAAGAGTGTATGTACTATGATGTACCTATTCAACGAGTCACTAATGACACTATGACTCCTCATATCACAGCTAGCCGTATATACCACCAGGAACCATCTTCTTGAATTAGGATACTTTTACACTGAACTGTCCCACCAAACTCATTGACAGGAGGGCGCCACCATTGTTCAACTAATAGGTCTCCAAAATGGCAAAAAAGGGAACCAGCGATCCAGTATTGACGGTGGCGCCCCCTGTCAATGTCACGGGTTCCAACAGACTATTGCCACATTGGACAGCCATTATAATTATGGCATTTACATGAAGGCGCTACTATCAATATTACTATCATGAATGTAAATGACAATGAGGGCTATCGTTTTAGCGCTCACCAGTTAGCGCCACTGTAGAGTAAGGTCCTGTCACTTGCTAGTAGCGAAGACAGTGGCACCAACTGGTGAGCGCTAAAGTGGTAGGAGGACTATCGCATTTGCACTCATCAAGATGGCGCCACTGTAGAGTAAGGTCCTGTCAATCGCCAGGGGTGCCAACTGTTAAGTATAAAAACGATAGCCCTCATTACAGTAATATTTTTGCATGCCTAAAGGTGGAAGATGGAGATACCTACTTGAAAAATTGTAACACCTACTGATGTAAACCCATTTTCACAAAATATATGATTTGATTTGATTTGATTTGATATCAATACTAGGTTGTTAGTTTATTTTTGCCACTTTTCATTTCAAAATCGTTGGACTATATTATAACTAGCGACTCGCACCGGCTTCGCACCGGCTTCGCACCGGCTTCGCACGGATGCTAAGTATACATAATATAAATCTTTCCCTTAAATCACTGTATCTTATACAAAAAACCGCATCAAAATCCGTTGCGTAGTTTTAAAGATGAAAGCATACATAGAGACACAACAGACAGCGGAAAGCAACTTTGTTTTATACTATGTAGTGATATTGTTTCTTAGTAAGTATTGATAAGTTTGATTTATAATTATGCATGCCAAAAGGTGGAAGATGGAGATACTGTAATACTTGTAACACCTACGTGTAATACCCATGTTTGCAAAATAAATATATTTGATTTGATTTGATTTGTTTTGATTTAGATGACGATTTACGCGAACGTGGAATACAGCTGCGTGGTGTTTCGGGCGACGAGCACGGACAAGCCGCCGTCGCTGCGCCTGCGTCGCTGGTGCGCCGGCAACCCCAACTCTTGCAGCGGCTTCCAGTACATCGAGATCGACTTCTACGTCGAGGTCACCTTCTCAGGTATCCGTCTTCTTCTATCTTAGTTAAATAGTGGGCCACTGTGTCAACAGGCTCCCGCTCAGCATTTATCCTGACATGCTCGTAAGGGCATGTCAAGAAACTGGTCTTCCGTGCCGTGAGAGCCCTTGTTGTGGCTTCGCGCATCCCTTCGGAGAGACATCGACTCGAGTTCGATATTTCAGACAATTTCAAGATTGACCAGTTGATAGCGGCCTGTATCCAGTTTCTGTCTTATAGGCTGGCACAACCGAATTCCCTTCTGCATCATTGCGATTCCAATGACAGCTTCACTATCCCATAGGACCAACAATACTCCACTTCCAGGGTTTTATTGGCTGTTAGGATCATAGCACACTTTCTGATGTATGATGTGTGTTTACCTTCGAGCTGTTGATATTATGCTGTCTGCTTTTTGGTGTATGTAATAAAAGACCTATTTTTTGTAGAAGACTTCGACCTGTGATTACTTTACGGCTTGCTGTTATTGGCCAATTTTTAACACGCGTATGTAACTAACTATGTAGTGGAATCTTAGAATCTGAATTACACGCACTTCTAATTCTTGTATCATCATGAAACTTGGCAATTATGTAGATTAGATGAAAATACAATATTATGGTACCATCGAGCTGGTCTGATGATAGGACTGAAAGGAGGCCATAGGATTTGCCTTGTCTTTTCGACACTTTATTCGTCTCTTTTAGTGCAGTAGTTAAAAGCGTGTTTTTAGTTTTTAAACTATTAATTTACTATTTTCATTCTAGGATACATGAAATTCTCCATGAAAGCATACGGCCGTAAAGGCATAGTCATAGACGTGAAGCGCGCCATGAAGTACCTGAACACAATGCACCACTACCCAGGCATTTGGACTCCGTACGAGGTCAGCATGGTGATCGAAGCCCAGAAAATGGCCAGAACGACTACAAAGGCACCAAAGACAACTAGGACAACTAGGACACCTAGAAAGATACGGCCTTAGCCATTTATCTATAACTAGCGGCCGTCCGTGACTTCGTACGCGTGGATCCCGTTTTACCCCCTTAAGGGTGAAGTTTCCTAAAATCCTTTCTTATCGGATGCCTACGACATAACATCTACCTGCATGCCAAATTTCAGCCCGATCCGTCCAGTGGTTTGGGCTGTGCATTGATAGATCACTATGTCAGTCAGTCAGTCAGTCAGTCCTTTTGAGTTATACCTAATATTATATTTAGATATGTATAAAAGCGAAAGGTCACTGACTCACTCACTCATTCATCACGAAATCTCAAAACCAAGAAGTGCTAGGAGTCTCAAATTTTGCATGGGGGTTCCTTTTAGAACGTAGGTGCTCACTAAGACGGGATTTAGTAAAATCCAACCCTTAATCGGGTAAGACGGGATCCACGCGTACAAAGTCGCAGGCGGCCGTTAGTAGGTATAGATATAAATGGTTTATTTAGAAACTCCGTCAGAAAATTAGCTCGTTCGTTTCAACGGAATTTCGTCCACAGCTGGACAAAAGCACACGAATTGCCCCAACGACAGGTCCTGCGCCTAAAACGTAGTCCTCTAGACTAGATGAACCGACGATCAAATGGATGGATGGACCGGTCGATATGGAAATCCTTGGCCTTTGTCCAGCAATGGATGTCCTTTTATTTAAAGAACTTTTATGGAATACGCAGTTCCAATTAACTTCTTAAAATTATTAATTTTACAATCTTTGATTAAAATTCCGATAGTGAATAGACAGAAAAAGTGTTATTAGACAAATAATAAGTTATTACATACCTATTTATTTTTATTGTTTTTATCTTACATAACGATGCGAGTTTTGTATTTCCTTCAATAGACATTTTTTTTTAAATTGGGAACCCAAGGAGTTACTTTCCAATAGAAAGATAAAAAGTTTATGAAAAATTGGCCACATTCGCGCCCAAAGCCGTTAATAATTTTATTTTAAAAAAGTATGTCAATTATTAGTAATCTGTGCAACAAAAAGGTCGTTATTTACAGTTTTTCGTTCCTTCTTGGCTCCTGCGGGTCTAGTCAAAACGCACTTTAAAATCGCAAACCCATCGCAAACCAGTCGCAAACAAATAAACAAATCGCAAAAGAGGTCGATAGCAAAAAAGGCTTAGTCAAACGGCAAAAAATCGAATCGCAAAGCCCTACCTATCGATAATCGAAAGACTGTGGGTCTAGTCAAAATGCCATCGCAAACCAATAGGAAGTTTTCACTAATGTCAGTCGCCGCGTCACCAGTAATTCGATTCGATCGGAAAATGGCAGCCAAAATGCACATTGAACCACCAACGACGCGGCGACATAAAAGTTCATTCAAAATCGAATAAAAGTTTAAAAATGTCTATGACTTTGCGATTGTTTTAACTTTTTTTAGCTTTTTTATTTTAAATTAGTTTCTTCCTTCTTTCTGCTCTCTANGATTGACCAGTTGATAGCGGCCTGTATCCAGCTTCTGTCTTATAGGCTGGCACAACAGAATTCTCTTCCACATCATTGCGAATCCAGGATTTTTATAGCCTGTTAGGGTCATAGCACATTTCTTGACCTTTTCGAGCGACGAGCACGGACAAACCGCCGTCGCTGCGCCGGCAACTCTAACTCTTGCAGCGGCTTCCAGTACATCGAGATCGACTTCTACGTCGAGGTCACCTTCTCAGGTATCCGTCTTCTTCACCCGGGGCGATCACCCCCCTCCCCCTGTCATAAGTCCTAAGTACCGATTCGAAGATCGCACTCCCCCCCCTTTTTATGACATAGACCGCAGACTTGCCATGCAGATGCGCCAGTGAGTACTCATCTGCGCGACTTGTGTTACCCCCTGATGCTTGGCACCCTTACGCCGCTACTGATCATGCCATCATTTTAGCTATAGGACCACAGGCAATTTTCAAATTGACCAGTTGATAGCGGCCTGTATCCAGTTTCTGTCTTATAGGCTGGCACAATCGAATTCTCTTCCACATCATTGCGAATCCAGGGTTTTTATGGCCTATTAGGGTCATAGCACATTTCTTGACCTTTCGAGCGACGAGCACGGACAAGCCGCCGTCGCTGCGCCTGCGCCGCTGGTGCGCCGGCAACCCCAACTCTTGCAGCGGCTTCCAGTACATCGAGATCGACTTCTACGTCGAGGTCACCTTCTCAGGTATCCGTCTTCTTCTATCTTGCCATCATTTCAACTATAGCACCAAGAAAGAAAGAAATAGACTTTATTAACACAGATAGACTTTTTTAACACAGTAAGGACAAATTATATACAATAACAACACAAAATGAATATAGTTAAATAGTGGGCCACTGTGTCAATAGGCTCAGCATTTATCCTGACATGCTCGTAAGGGCTCGTAAGGGTCTTCCGCGAGAGCCCTTGTTGTGGCTTCGCGCATCCCTTCGGAGAGACATCGACTCGAGTTCGATATTTCAGACAATTTCAAGATTGACCAGTTGATAGCGGCCTGTATCCAGTTTCTGTCTTATAGGCTGGCACAACAACCGAATTCCCTTCTGCATCATTACGATTCCAATGACAGCTTCACTATCTTATAGGACCAACAAGACTCCACTTCCAGGGTGTTTATTGGCTGTTAGGATCATAGCACACTTTCCGGTGTGTTATGTGTCTTTGCTCTATGGTGTAAATAATGTAATAAATGACAAAGGTGACTGAGTTTCTTCCGCCACTTCTTCTCAGCACCAGCCCATATAATGTCCCGAAGTGGTAGTGGTAGTGGGGCAACTTATATTTGGGACGTGTGTGCCCTGGAAAGGGCCTTGTACTGTACTGTACTGAATAAACTATTTCATCATTCAACCTAAAATTTGTAGAAAAACTCGACCGGTGATTATTACATTAAAGCTTGCTGTTATTGCGTGTGTGGGACATCCACACTCAAGGTGGACCAACGACATCATAAAGGTAGCGGGAAAGCGCTGGACGCAGGCCGCTACCAACCGGGTGACATCGAAAGCATTGGGGGAGGCCTATGTTCAGCAGTGGACGTCCTATGGCTGAGATGATGATGATGATGATGATTGCTGTTATTTTCCAATTTTTCTCATTCTAGGGTACATGAAATTCTCCATGAAAGCATACGGCCGCAAAGGCATAGTCATAGACGTGAAGCGCGCCATGAAGTACCTGAACACAATGCACCACTACCCTGGCATTTGGACTCCGTACGAGGTCAGCATGGTGATCGAAGCCCAGAAAATGGCCAGAACGACTACAAAGGCACCAAAGACAACCAGGACAACTAGGACACCTAGAAAGATACGGCCTTAGCCATTTATCTATAACTAGCGGCCGTCCGCGACTTAGTACGCGTGGATCCCGTTTTACCCCCTTAGGGGTGGAGTTTTGTATTATCCTTTCTTAGCGGATGCCTACGTCTACCTGCATGCCTAATTTCAGCCCAGTGGTTTGGGCTGTGCGTTGATAGATCACTATCTCAGTCAGTCAGTCAGTCAGTCAGTCACCTTTTGAGTTATACATATATTATTATATTTAGATATGTATAAAAGCGAAAGGTCACTGACTCACTCACTCATCACGAAATCTCAAAAACAAGAAGTGCTAGGAGTCAATTGTACATGGGTTCCTTTTAGAACGTGGTGCTCACTAAGACGGGATTTAGTAAAATCCAACCCCTAATGGGGTAAAACGGGGTGCACGCGTACAAAGTCGCGGGCGGCCGTTAGTATACATAGATATAAATGGTTTATTTAGAAACTCCGTCAGAAAATTAGCTCGTTCGTTTCAACGGAATTTCGTCCACAGCTGGACAAAAGCACACGAATTGCCCCAACGACAGGTCCTGCGCCCAAAACGTAGTCTTCTAGGTGGACCGACGATCTGGCGAATGGATGTGTGCAGTGCAGGACCGGTCGATGTGGGAATCCTTGGCCTTTGTCCAGCTATGGATGTCCTTTTATTTAAAAGAACTTTTATGGAATACGCAGTTCCAATTAACTTCTTAAAATTATTAATTCTACAATATTTGATTAAAATTCCGATAGCGAAAGTGTTATTAGACAAATAATAAGTTATTACATATTTATTTTTATTGTTTTTATCTTACTTAACGATGTGAGTTTCGTATTTCCTTCAATAGACATTTTTTTTTTAAATTGGGAACCCAAGGAGTTACTTTCCAATAGAAAGATAAGAAGTTTATGAAAAATTGGCCACATTCGCGCCCAAAGCCGTTAATAATTTTATTTTAAAAAAGTATGTCAATTATTAGTAATCTGTGCAACAAAAAGGTCGTTAGTTACAGTTTTTCATTATTTATTTTATTATTGGCTCCTGTGGGTCTAGACAAAGTGCAAATTATAATCGCAAACCAGTCGAAAAGTGGTCGAATAGCCCCTTTTTTGTATGGAGTTTTGACGGATTCGATTTTCGATTCGATCAAAAAGTGCGTTTTGTCTAGGGGGGCTGATATAGTAGAAGCGTCAAAGAGAGAACAAACACGATGACTTGGTAAGTGACTACTTTGCATCACTTTCAATGGTCATCCTGTGTCTCCAACATTCTGTCATTAACTATTTAAATAAAAGCGAAATTAGGTATATCACAAAATCTCAGAAACTATACTTAACACCTACAAACTTGAATTTTGTAGGTAGGTTACCACCTTAGGGGTGCAGTTTTGTAAAAATCCCCTAAGGGGGTAAAACTAGCTCTAAAGTAAAACTCTATGATAGCCATTGATGATAGCGGGTCAGATACTATAGTGACTGAGTTTCTTGCGCTGCTTCTTCTCAGCACTGGCCCATTTATTGTCCCGAAGTAGTGGTAGGGTTAATACTGGGACGTGTAAAAGTGCTTTTTTTAAGACTATTTACAGAAATAAATGAGTTTTATGAGTTTTATCATTATTAATACTGACAGTGCTTCAATGTGGTGGTAGGAATGAAGGAATGACATATTTTATGGTGTGAAAAGGCTATTTGCAGGAGTGGGGAGATTCCGAAAGACATTACGGAAGGAAAGAATGACAGTAATAGTGATGTCATTATCTGATGGTGTCTGGAAGTAGCCGTACACAGCTGGGCTTAAATTTCCCCAAGGAACGCTTCGGTTAGAATACGCGCCACGATAAAGCCTTAACGTGGTATTTTATGGATTTTTATCGAAAAAAAAACGGTATAATATATCCTACTGGGCTATCCTAAAAATATCTTATCCTGCCAAAGACGGGTGTGACGACGAATTCGTCGGGCGCGAGTCAAAGCGCTCAGTTGATTTGCGCGGCTAATTTGCCTCAGTCGGCGCTTTGGGTGTAGAGTGGACTAATGTAAGAGTGGATGTGGCATAAAAATAAAATGTACCAAGTTGAACAGATTTTCTGAGGCTTGCTTCTTTAGCTACTTATTACTGCATTAAATTGGTATCTAGGCGTATCTTTATTAGGTGCATTACATTCTGTGCATATGAAAAGAACAATTTGATTGAATTTTACTTCTTTCTCAAATCTTTTGTTGTTTCTGAAGCCCATAATACATCTAGGAAGATTTGTGCATCGAAAAAATATTTGTAATAAATTGACATAAACTTTAGCAGCTACTACAGTCGTCAAACGTAATGTGCTCTCTGACTGAATAACTCTACAATCATTACCTACCTACATGAAAATGCTGATTTTACACTCTCTCCGACAATATCAGCTTATGTAGAAAATCTATTATCCGTGGTGTAAATCTTTTCTTAAAGGTTACTTAAACCCTTGTTTTGTCACCTATCATTTGCTTTGCACTGTGCACTGGAGAGAAATCCTATGTTATTTTGATTAATTAATTTTGTTGCGGATTTAATGACAGTTTAACTTTCCCCGGGACAAACTTGACCTTCACTGGTTGGGTTTTTATTGGCGGCCAAGTTGTAGGAGTTGCAGCGGTGGGAACGAGAGGTGGGAATAGTCCTGTAGCATATCCACTTTTTTCTCGTCGTAGCTCCTGGATCCTCGCTCGCGCCATCTGATTGCCGTCTCGAATATTTATTAAATAAATATTGAATCGTTTCGTGTCGATGCTGCGGCGCTCTGACGTCGGCCCTCTTCGCTGCTCCACTGTAAACAAGAAAGAATTACGGAACGCCCTGTATTTATGCGAAGAGTTCAGGTGAAACGAAAATATTGTTTACAGTAAACGTGCCGTTATACAGATGGAGATGATCCAACGCTTTTTGTACCTTGGACCGACTGTGACAAGAACTGGTCCTTAAAATGACCGAAATACTTATGGTATGCAATAAAGTAGTGTCCGACCGAATGTTCGGTTTCGGTTTTGTTTTCGGTTGAGTTTCGGTAAAAACACGAGTTTCGGTTTAGTTTCGTTTTCGGTGGCAAACTTGCCGAAACTATGACCGAAACCGAATGTGCATTCGGGAGTTTCCGTGCTGTTATCGGTCATGTTCGGCGCGTTGAATGAGGAATGAATCCGATCCCGATCAGAGCCAATGTCGTGATTCGCTCGCTTGTTTGTTTGCTGTTAGTTTTGTTTTGTTGTGGTGGCGAATTTTCGAGTGATTTATTTTGAATTTGGTAAGTTTTATCACGTTTTATGTCGTTACAACAAGAGCGAGTAGTAAACATCAAAAAAAATATTCAATATGACTGATAAAAGTATAATCAAGTTTAATCTAACCTATACTTTTTTTTTGGTTCGCAAATGCTATACGTAAACAAACATTAGTTAGGTAGTTAGTTATGACTATAGTGCATTTCATGGTGATAATATTATGGATTCAGAGTTTCAAAGTTCATTTTAGTATTTATCACCAAGGTATCCAAGTGGCAAGTACAGTAGATACTAACTTACGTACCTACTACCAATTTTGTTTTGAGAAATTATTAAGGTAAAAGACCCGACCATGGGACGGGTTATGTAGATGTCCTGAATATTGCGAGTAATTAAAAAAAATCAGAATTAACAAAAATAAGACTATTTATAAATCCTTCTTTTTCTTTTTTAATACATAATTTGATACCTTTTAGAGTAAAAAGGCGCTTTCGTTCGTTTCAGCCGAAAGACGTCCACTGCTGGACAAAGGCCTCTCCCAAGGATTTCCACGAAGACCGATCCTGCGCCGCTCACATCCAGGCACCTCCCGTGACCTTCACACCCTTTTGTACCCTTTGCACCACCGGCCTGCACCACTGGTGGTGCAAAGGGTATTTTTAAATCCCTCTTGCACCACCAACAAATAGTGCTGTGCTACCATCGACTGTAAAACTAGTAGTAGACTGTAAAATACTTAATAATTTAATTGTTATAAATAAATCAAAACCTACCTAAAAGTTTTAATTTGTGTGTGTGTAAGTGCCTATAAACATTTCACTTCAGACCCACGATACCCCGGGCCTACACCCTACCACAGAATAAGTAATAGTACAGGTACAGAAGGATTACTCCGCAAGACGATTTAAATAAATGCGAGTCTTGCTACGACGCGATACAGTGGAATTCAGCTCGCACAGCACTACGTACCTACAATTTTATTCACCTACAAGTTTTATCTCTTTCTATCGCGTGCCTCTGAACTCTTCTTACGCTGTTAGGGTTGCTGTCTAGTGAAAAATTAATTAATCTACTTATATGTAATGAGGTACGTTTGTAGGTAAGTAAGTACACATTCATTATGGAAAACCTTGGGAGAGGCCTTTGTCCAGCAGTGGACGTCATTTGGCTGTAACGAACGAACGCATTCTGAGCAGTAGGTAGTCATGGTAGGTTAGGTTCCTATACTACTATCCTAAGAATTTTATTGATTACCTACATGGCCAACATACCTTTCAGCATCTTTGGGAAGCGAAAAAAAATATAAATCCGGTGTAGATTTCTTTTCGAATTTAAACACCCGAACGCCGCACAATATTTCTTTCTCTTTATGTCCATTTTTAAATAATACTTCGATCATAGAATTAGGTACATACTACAACGCACGCCAGCGACCTGACGGGCGCGCGCTGACACTCGACTGATATAATACCCGCCGGCGGGGCGCTTCGCTGTAGGTAATTATCGGATGTACCGCGCGGAGTGAGCCAGGCCTGACCCTACATACAACGAATAAAGTACCAGGGCAACATAACCATAAAGGAGCTGTTTTGTGATACATGTTTATTTCTCGGGTCAACCAAGAAGAATTTGATATAGCTCCTTTATGATTATGTTGCCCTGGTACTTTAGGAATATTATTCGTTGTATGTAGGTATGAATGGTTGTTATTAATTTTTATGTTATGTTGTCAAATCTGTCCAGTGGTTCGGAGCCTATTCA